CCTTATATTCACTGCAGTGTTAATTATAATAGCCAAGATATGGAAACAAACTAAGTATCCATCGATGGATGAATGGATAAAGAAGATGTGGTATATATACAATGAAATACCACTCAGATATATAAAAGGATGAAATTCTGCCATTTGTAACAACACAGGTGGACCGTGAGGATATTATGGTCAGTGAAATAAATCAAAAAGAGAAAGGCAAATACCATATGATTCCACTGTTAGATGGAATCTAAAGGCAAAATAAGCCAAACCCCAGAAATAAACAAAATAAAACAAAAACTAAACTCATAGATACAGAGAATGGATTAGTGGTTACCAGAGGGGAAAAGGGTTGGGTGGGTGGGAAAAATGGGTGATGAGGGTCAACTGTGTGGTGATAGGTGGTAATTAGACTTGTGATGATCACTCTGTATACAGGTGTTGAACTATAGTGCTGTACAGTGAAACTTACTGAAAACGTTGGCCTGGACACTCAACACTAAAGCTCTTTTTAGGATAAAGCAGAAGGTAGCAGATTTAACACATCCATAATGTAACTCTTATTTCCCAACCCCCACAACTCTTCCAGAATTACATCCGTAAGTGGCATTATCAACTCCCCTATTTCTTGAGGAAGAACTCTGGGAGTCTTCTTTGAGTATTCCCTTCCGCAAAACCTGTATATCAAACCATGAGCAAGTTTAATATTTTCTTCTTTTTAAATATATTTTAAATCCATCTACTTTCCCTCAACTTCACAGCACCACCCTCTTTGCCACCATGCCTCTCTTGCAGAACCACCAGGCCCTGGAGAGGTTGCACTCCTGGAGAAAATGTGGATCATGCAAGAGGTAACTGACCCCTTCAGGAAATGCACACGCTCCCTCCTAACAAAATCCCCCAGACTGAGAGCTGGGTCTTAGAGATAGGTGTGGCCTTGCCCTTAGAATGGGTGCCAATGACAGTTCTGAGGCTTGGGCCACTGAATCTGAACCCATGACTCTCCTGATGAGCCAAGACTCTCAAGGGAACTGAACTGTCCCATGGTCACTGGATACTGACCTCTCTGAAGGAAAGACTGCCTAGTTGAGAATTTAGGACCCCCACAAATAAGGATTAAATAATGAGCTCACAATCAAAGACCACCAATACTCAAGAAGACAAGCCCTGTGTATCTCAAACGTCTTTAAAGAGATAATAGAAGAGAAAAAGGTAAAGAGATAACATATAAAGCATTTAGCACAGTGTCTGAAACGCAGTGGGAGCTGACTGCTAGAAGCTACATTTGGATCCAACTTCATCCTTTCTTCTCTGAATCAGTGCTCTTAGTACTGGTTCTCCAGCTACTGTCATTCTGAAATATGCATTGATCGTACGAGTTACCTCTCTCTGAGCAGACAGTCCACAGCTTCATGGATGGGGTTTATGGTAAATGATGCATAGAGGTAATATGCTTTAATGGCTTAAAGCAATGCAGACTTATTTTCTTAACACTTCTGGTGGTCAGAAGTCTGAAATAAGTTCTTAGGGGCTAAAATCAAGGTGTTGATAGGGCTGTATGCCTTCTTGAGGCTCTAGGGAAGATCTGATTCCTTGCCTTTTCTAGCTTCCAGAAACTGCCAGCATCTCTTGGCTCATGGTCCCTTCTCCATCTTTACAGCCAACAGCTTAGCATCTCTTCTCTTTCTGCTCTTCTGCCTCCCTCTTATAAGGAAACTTGTGATTATACCAGACCCACCTGGATAATTCAGAATACTCTTCCCATCTCAGGATCCATCATTTAATTGCTTCTGCAAAGTCCCTGTAAGGTAGCAAATTCACAGGTTCTGAGGATAAGGACGTGGGCATCTTTGGGGGAGCATTATCCAGCCCACTGCTGGTCGGGAGCAGACAGCAGCTTCTCAAAGTTTAAGCTGTGACAGAGATCGGTCGGGGAGGGGAGGTATTGAGGAGGAAACTAGCCAGATGGGGAAAAGGGATGAATTTCAGCCCTGGGCATGATGGGATTGGCATATTTAGGGAAGGAGAGTCAGAGAAATTAGGTTTATCTTGAGCTTAAAATGATCCACAGAATTTGCTTTCTAAAATGCAGGTTTAATTCTGTGTCTTTGTGTGCAGTGGGGGGTGGTGGGGAGGAAGCAGGAGTGGGGAGGAAGTGATAGTCATAGTTTTATTACTACTATAAAGAGTATTGTTCTTGGATATTTTTCAGTCGACTGTGGTTGATAGAGCAGAAAGGAGCTGACTTTTCCACGTTGTTATTTCATCTGGAGAGCTTGCTGCATTTTCTATGATCCAGTTGGTCATCCATTGATTCCACTGGGTTTTCTAGGTTGATAATATACCCTATTGTATTTTGAAGAAAATATCACTGCTGAGGTCAGTAATACATACATGAGGGGGAGTGGTTAAGAAGAGTTGAAAATGTGTGTTTTGGCAAAATGATTCCCAATAAAGTCATTTACATGCACTGTTCACCTTTCATTCCCTAGTGGCACAACAGCACAAAGGTGAGTCAGATTGATTCTGAAGTGAGTTTTATTTTATAAGAGCTGTTAAGTTTACACGGTTTTGCTGAGTCATCATGGCTGGTGTTTTGTGGCATGTCCTTCCACTCACAGTTTAAGGGAAAAGGACAGTGAACATTTTCCTTTCCCAACACTTTTTCTTCAGGGAGCCCCTTGTTGCTTTTACTACTAACAAGAGAAACTCCCAATTTCTGAACAGTTCATTTAAAAATGAACCTTTATGCATATCTTTCTAGCTCCACACACAGGGACACAGCACAATAAATATTTCTGTTCCTGCAGGTGGTAAGTGTTGTCAAGTGTTTAAGAAATGTAGATTTACACGCTTGCTTGCAAGGCATATCTGTGAAAATGTTACTCCTTTAACTAAACACTCAACTATTCAGTCTTTCCGCTAAAGGGTTAGCCCTCACGGAATGACTTGCTCCACGCTCGGAGCTCCTCCTGCCTACAACATGTCAGTTAATGATGCCATCGTCACCCAGGGGGCAGGGTCTAAGCCCACAGACCTGGAGTCCTCTCTTTCTTTCTCCTTTTCCTTAGACTTCCACAGGTGAATGCTTATCAATTTTATCTCCCCAACACCTCTGGCATTCCTTCCTTCCTTTTCCTTTTCACTGCCATTGCCTCTTCCTTGATGACATCCAGTTGTATCCCGCCTGAGCCTGTGTCTCCTCCAATCCAGCTCAAGTCTGCCTGTGAGAATAACAGCCCTGACGCCCTGTTCCAATAAGCTCACTCCTGGTCCGTTAACTTTCAACAGCTTCCCCATGCTTTGCCTAACACGGTGAACAACACAGCCTGGCCTTCAAGGGCTGCAAATCTATTTCTCTAGTCTTATATCTTGCTAGTTCCCTTTATATTGCTTACGTCTCAGTAAAACAGGACTACGTTATCCGCAGATTGATTCCATGTCTCTCTCCACCTTCAGGCTTGGCCACGTGCTGCTCTTTTGTG